TTTTACTTTTATTAATTACAAATAGTCACTGTCCCTGGAATAAAACGTATTTGTTAAGCAGTTGGCGCTTGCTATTAATTGCGAATGAATTTTTCAAAACTAAGTGTATTCTGATTTTTTTATGGTAAAATCATTTTCAGTAAAATGTTTAGAGCAAATAGTACTCGTCTTTGTCTCCAGTTTCCTCTACCTGTCACGTCAATCTATTGTTCCCTGGCGTTAGGTTCTTTAGGAAACCAAAATTTTTTATTTACTGCATAAGTCAAATAGCATTTTACTTAGATTTTAATACGTCTTAGACAATATAGTAAATACCCGTAAATGAGAGGTCTACATGTCCCTTTATATTAAACCTTCACATTAATTCAATGATAATAATTCAATAATAATAATACATATTTATTTTACTCAAAATATGTCTCACTAAGAATATACTAGGTATCATTAATTAAATATAAAATAATGCAAAAATTATCCATGTCAAATGTAAATATAGTCGAGAATTCTGTCGATGATTTTATTTCACCACATGGTCACCTCACTATCGATAAACTAGCGCCGTCCAACCAGGGCAAAGGCCGAAATTTCAAAGATTGAAGTGTAGAGAACGCAATGCATGTAGTACATTGGAAGCTGACTTGGTGATTGCGTTCATTGGGCGAGTACACATCGCGCAATGTATGCTATTTATAACTTGCTGCAATAATATTGTTAATGTTTGGAATTTCATAATGCTCAGTATATTTTTATGTTTTAGACAAATAATATTGTAATTAAATAGTAATTTCGACTTACCGATCGAAAGATATACCTTCTCGCTCTATACTTGAGGTCTGATTTTTTGTTTTACAAGTTATAATTGCACAACACGGCACTATAAAGCGGAGATCTGATCGCCCAAGTAGTCCGAAGCGCACTAAACGCGGTGAATGAAAGAATCAGTCGAGTTATGTTTGTAGAATCATAACTGTGGCACGCTTGCCCCGCCTACATTACCATTCCAACCTTATTTATCTATTCCGTGGTTACAACGGCTGCCCCACCTTTTAAACCGAAACGCATTACTGCTTCACGGCAGACATAGGCGGGGCGGTGGTACCTACCCGTGCGGACTCACAAGAGGTCCTACCACCAGTAAAAAAAAATAGTTTGTGAACCCGCAATGGATTTGTATAAAAGTTGAAAGTCAACAACCCAACTCTCTCAAGGTTATATCGCAATATAGCAGAATGAATGACCGCGATGCCGTGGTTGTATAAAAATGTAAAACTCTTGTATTGCCTTATTTTTAAATTGTAATGGACCTGCTGCAATGTATTTTTTATTAATTGTAGTTTAATTTTTCCATTACGACTTTTTGTGTTATTATTGTATTGTGTATTTTGATTTTCGTATTTCAGATATCAGTGACATTAAAATTTCATATCATTGGGCTGTTTTTTATGCACATTATCAAGTATTATTAGCTTAATTTCTTAAAATTACCTCATCGTGTCTGTAATAGGCGTTGAATGATATAGCACGGCCACTTCTTTTGGAATTATGCCTGGCTCTATTGATTTGTGCTTCTTCGTCGCGTAGGACACTGAAAATTTGTTATGAGTTTCTGGAATTTGTTTTTGGTTAGATAGTTGGATCTATGGAGAGTAGAGGTAAGGAGAACCGTCTCTGTGTGTGAAAAAGTGTCCGTTAAAATCTGCTAAATAAGAGTGACGCTACAGTAGCAACCAGGTAAATTTTAAAAAAGGCGCTGAAAGTTAATAGAATAACATAGAGAAATAAAAAAGGACGAAAAAACTGTAAGCACTACAAAAACACAAAAAGTATTTTATTTAAAGCTGTTATGAAAATGCAATTGGTGGCTCCACGTTTTACCACAGCAATAATTATAGGTTATATTGACGAAATTAGTTTGGACTACGTCAACATGTGAGGTCTTGTATTTGCACTGTCACTAACTACTCTAGTCATTAAATATATTAAATGACCTAACTCAGCACACTTCAATCAGTTAACAACTGCTCAATTCATATCATACCCTGTGCCTATGCTAGCGCCATTCTAGAGGATTGGAGAGGAATTGTTATTTAGTGCTGAAAGAGGGACACTTTTTCAAGTTTCTCCCATATGAGACGGTTCTCCTTACCTATACCCTCCATAGTTGGATCTAGGCTTCAATTCATTACCTGTGACCACGTCTTACGTAGATATGTAAAGAAAAACGGTAGCTCCCGTGCGATTTTATTCCTAGTCTCACCCATTACGCCTTTGAAGCCTCAAATGACGGTTTCTATAGCCTCGAATTTTCCACAATATTGAAACGCTATCAGATAACCGTCGCTTATAATGTTTTTTTTTTTCGGGCCCCTGGCTGTGACTTTGGGATGTCTACGCTGCGACGGGTTCGAAGTGTATTTGTGATTGTCCGTAAAAACGTGTGCTATAAAAATAAAAGTCAATGAAACTCACTCAGCCAAATTGTCGACAACTTTTGTGTAAGTCATGTTCTTCTTGTCGAAAAGAGGAAGCCATTTTTGTTTTTCTTCAGGAGATAACCTAACCAAAGCCTCGAGTTGTCCAGAGGTCGACCGAGCCGCTGATTTGGTTGATAGTAGATCTAAATAGGCTTCCAAATATTCGAATTCTGTGGCTGCACCGGAGACACGATATAACTGGTGACTAAGAATATTTGATTTAATCAATATTTAGAGAAATCCTATCGTCCCTAACGTTAACATATTTGCAATTTTGTTCTACTTTGATTGGACTTTTTTCTATGTATTTTACGGCAATAATAACAATATTCACAGACGTAGGTAGTGTCATGGAATTTTCTAGAACTCGTTTCCACATAGATGGAATTTTACGTATTTCTTTTTAAACTTGCGTTAATTCGTCAGTCAGCAACGAGGAAAAATGTAAAGTTATTTATTTGTTTGAAATGGAACTTAAAAAAAATATCTCTAAAAGTGCTGTTACATGCGCAAGTAACAAAGTTCATCACGTGTGTGTAGGTGAACTCTTTGGATCTGAATGTGGTATTCTTGTCTATCACGTTTGTGTCTGACTTGAACTGATAAGTTCAAGAAGAATAGTGTAAATACAAATATTACTAATTCACTTAATACTTAATGCTTAAACTGTACGAAATAATAGAAGAGACTCACCCTTCATATTTTTCATGGCGACCCTGAACCAGGGCTGCCCCGAAAAGCAGAACACATATGAGTAACTGCATTTTGTAAACTGACCTTAAGTTTATCAGGTAACTCAGTTTTACATCAATTATTCCCTGATTACAAATAATCTTAACGATAAATTCGACGATAATTTATGAAATAATGTGATAAATTTTATTACACATTCATTAGCGGTTGTAAAAAAATACTTTGAAAAGACAACGTTCCGTTTATCAATTGCTACTAATTAGCATGGAATAATACATATCAGTTAGAATTAATTTAAATTTGGTCGAAAAAAAGGTATAGAAAATGCAAAAGATGCGAAGATGGTGGTGCGAAATAATGTTTTAAATTACTTTATTTAGACTTAAACGTAAACTTACTTTATAAGACCCTAAGGCCTATTTTAGTGTATAGATTGGAGACATTAAAAAAAGTTAAAAACGATATGTTGATCTGTCGAGGGAAAGATCGTCCAAAACGTACTATAACTATAGCAAAATTCATTAGATTAATCTGTTTGCAGCAGACGGGTCATGTAATATTTAAGAGTCGCAACCAAACATTCAAATTCAAAATCATTTATTTCAACTTAGATATCAGTATGACACACTTGTTGAATGTCAAAATACAAATAACAATGTTAACTCTACCACCGGTTCCAAAAAAAGTCACAGTCCTGAGAAGAACCGGCGAAACAAACTCAGCGGGCTTTTTGTTTTTTCTCAAATTTTTTTTTTTTTTAAATAAATAGAAATATTTACAATAAAAGAAAAAACAAGCCAAAAAATACAATTAAAAAAAATATAATAATAATGAGAAATGAAAAGGCCAGGAGCGAGCGCCTCATTCCCACGTAGTGCCATCTAGTAAATAATCCTTAACTTTATAATATGCCTTGTTGCACAAAAGTTCCTTAACAGTTTTCTTAAATCTATGAACAGGTAGTAGTTGAACAATTATTGAGCAAGGTAGAAAGGCGAAGAATCTGTTAACGTTATAAGATTAGATGGTTGTATAGCGTGGATAAAAGAGCAAAGATTATTATGATTTAATTAAAAGGAATTGATTTAATTCGATCTGCCAAGGCCTAAGGCCACAAGATACTATAGAGTTAAACACGAGTATTATGAGACTCGCGAACATTTTGAAAAAGTTACNTTGAACAATTATTGAGCAAGGTAGAAAGGCGAAGAATCTGTTAACGTTATAAGATTAGATGGTTGTATAGCGTGGATAAAAGAGCAAAGATTATTATGATTTAATTAAAAGGAATTGATTTAATTCGATCTGCCAAGGCCTAAGGCCACAAGATACTATAGAGTTAAACACGAGTATTATGAGACTCGCGAACATTTTGAAAAAGTTACGGGCCCAAGATTGGATTAATCTGAGTTATAACCGAGGAGCATCAGTCCGGCACCTCATAAGCCACTGACGATAATTTGTGCCTGCTAACCCGGGTGGGTGGAAAGTGTTCCGTCCCTAATTGACCAGGCCGCGCACTCTGGCAACGGAGATAAAGATAAAGATAACCTGGTCTCAAGTAAAGCGCGTAGCCCAAAACCTATTGCGACTGCGCAATAATGGTGAAGCCCTCTGCTCCCAGGTGGGAGCCTTAGGAATTTATACAAATAAACAAACAGCTCTGGTGGGTGGACAAACATCCAGATTTTCATATAAGAGAAAAATATTAGATTAAATGGTTATATATCCGCGACAGGCATTTGGTTATTAGATAATATGGCCGAAGAGATAAGACATGGTTGAGAAACGCCGTATGCATTGAAATACAAGCTTATGGTATTTGGTAAAACAGTTATTAAATTTTTTGGAACCGGATAGCATACTGCACGGTATACAGTTACGGATCGCCTGCGGTTAGAATTTGTGTTCACTACGTTAATTAAGTTTATTTAGATTGTTTATATCATTGTGCCAGATTGTAGGATGGGATGGTATGGACATGTCATTGTGATGAGACGAAATGAAAATGAGGTTGGTAAGAGAATGTTAACTATGAACGTGGAAGAATATAGAGGAAGAGGTAGACCTAAGAAGAAATTGATGGATTGCGTGAAAGACGATATAGTAAGAGGGGAGTGAGCGAAGAAATGATATATGATAGAAGAGTATGGAAGGAGATTTGTTGCGCCGACCCTAGGCGACTGGGCAGGAGAATGATGATATGTTTGTGCCATATAATACTTCTGTGCATAACCAGATTTCGTGTTTGTTTTAGTTATACTTTTTATACGTTTCTTAATTAGCTATAAATTGAATTAAGTTGTAAAGTTTTATGACTGACCACTGTTTTGTAAATATCGTAAAATAAATACCAGCGACGCAGTGTGTATTTTGACAAATTTGCATAATATTATCTTTGATTAATTAGACCAAGACATCCAATATAATTAGTTGCTGGTAAAATATGTGTTTTTTATTGCCCTGTTTACCATTAAAATCAATCATTCAACTTGATTCTATTTACTTAATTTTAAGATGGGATATATTGTATTTGTTTTTTTAATAATAACTCAGTTTAATTGTGTCGTAAATTGAAAGTCATTGATTTAAATCTATTGAACTTTATTTTCACAATTTTGTTGGTATTTCAACAATACATAACACACATAATGCTTACTTTTACGTTTTCCACGTGTCATGGTTTGCACCTTAAATAACACACTACAGTATTCCCGTGGCTTCGTGGTTGAATAAATAACAAATTAAAATAGCCATAATATCTTAATATCTACATCATCTACCGAAATAGCACGTGAATTTGTGTACATATTTATGGTAGTAAGCACGCACCGACCTCTGGAATCCTTTATGCCACCAAGCGTATATCAGTGGATTCAGAATACTGTTAACAAATGCTAAAGTAGCAAGAGGGCCTTCAATCAAACGTCGTATTTCAATACATTTTTGATTCTTCAGCTTGTCTTCGCAAAACACAAATAATATTACGGCCACAAAGAAAGGAAGCCACGTAACTATAAAACTTCCGGATGTTAACATTACAACGGTTATAGCCCTCCATTTGTTTGGCTCTTTCGATTTAACATTACTATTAGATCTGTTGTTTACATTGATCTCCAAATCCGATGTATTATTTGCGTCAGCAAGCGATGAGTTTCTATCAGAAAGATTCGATTCTACAGTGTAAACACTGAACTTGGATTCGTGTCCAGATTCGTGCGTTCGGCCATCATTATTTTTACTGTCACGGTAGTCGTGTAGAATGTTTGCATTGTCACTTGTGAGATCATCGATGCTTTTGGATTTTGTAGATATTTTAATTCTCGACTTTGGATTTTGATTTGTTTGACTTAAATGAAACGAAGAGCTCCTGTGAACGCTAATATCGCTTACACTAGTTGAACTCCTACAGAACTGTGTTTTTACTTTATTCTCGTTAACGGTTCCACGATACATTCTAAGTTTAGGTGTTTCCAGTTTTGGGTTTTCATCGTTTTTCGCGGCCTTAAGATTCTTCACGTTTTTCAAAGCTCTAAACAGTATAATAGAGTACAGCACTGCCACAACAATAATTGGAATGATGCTAAGGACAGAGTTCAGCAACACTAAGATACCAGGAAACAGTGCTACATAATAACACCTTGTATACAAAAGCTCCTCGTTTTTCCAGCCGGTCGCAGGCAAGAATCCCAAAGTGAGACCTACGAGAAAGATAATAAAGAAAACAGTGAAATTTAACTTATGTATTTGAATCAATAATCGACTTACTAATAATCCACGTGCAGAGTATACCGATTCTTACTCTTTTTGTATTGAACCATCTTCCGTAGTACAAGCCGTGCAGAATGTAGATATAGCGATCGACAGCTATTAGACCAACACTGAATAGTGACACCATCACAGGGCAAGCAAGCATACCTGAGGAACAATTCCACGNGTGAAATTTAACTTATGTATTTGAATCAATAATCGACTTACTAATAATCCACGTGCAGAGTATACCGATTCTTACTCTTTTTGTATTGAACCATCTTCCGTAGTACAAGCCGTGCAGAATGTAGATATAGCGATCGACAGCTATTAGACCAACACTGAATAGTGACACCATCACAGGGCAAGCAAGCATACCTGAGGAACAATTCCACGATCACTCAATAGCTGTTACTAAATAATTAGGTTATAATTTCATTTTTAAATGAGAAATAGGCTGGTTCTTACCAATTTGAAAGATGCATAGTACATTAGAACTTATGGTGTTCTCCATAGACATTCCGAATATAAGGGAAAAGCCGACAATTGTGTCGGCAAGCGAGACATTGCCCAGCAGAAGGTACGTGCTCTTTGGTTTCTGACCTACAACAAAATCATACAAGGTTTTTTTATAAAATCGCTACTTAGTACGCAGCTTGAAACTGTCTAATTGGCTCATCTATCACTTCAATATAAGTCTTAATTTTTTTAATTGCTCGATTCCTCAAAAATTCTCTTGTAGTCGTAAAATACACGTCATTTTCTGACCTTCTTTAAATACACATAACAATTATATTCAATTATCACCTAAGTGTTATTTTCTACGTCCGTTTACAAGTCGCATCCTGAATAACATTATTTATGCTGAATAACTTTAGCAAACAAGAATAAGTGGAATGACCGCATGAATGGTCAACCTCATTGTCGGGGTTGAAAAATTTAATGGACATGATGGTAGTTTGCTGACGGTACAACGTAAATAGCTGGGCAATAATATAACCAGAGCTTATACAGTTCTTAACTAACGAAACTAACTAACTAACATGAAAACTAGCAATTTGAAAATGGTCGTAATAATTGGTATGTTGTGACAGGTTAAGGCTTTTAGTATGTTAGACATATGTAAATAGAACAATAAACAACAGTTATTAATGTAAAATGTACAAATTATGAGCTGTATATGTAATATGTTGTAAAAAAGACTAGCAGAACAGGTCGTGAGCTTAAAAAATAGGAACGACTTTATATTGTTAATGCTATGATTTAATTGGACAGGTTTTATACGCTTCATGTTCAACGTATAGTCTTTTGATACCATAAATAGTACGAGTAGTTTACAGATTAGAACGATAACGATCGGATTGATTAGTTGGATTTTTTTACGAAGATTGAACGCTGCGAAGGCTTGGCAATAAATAAGAACTTTTTTTTCCTTTTTTTCCCCTACCTATTCTAGTGACTTCGAGGGGTCATATCAGATTCACCGGGCGAGTAAGTGAGCTTACGAGGCTCTAATCTGGGGGCGTTGCTAATACTAGCCCTAGCAAGAGCAGTGCTTCGCAGAATCTACCATGGAATTGGAAACGCGACCAACTGAGATCCGTCGAGAAACTCAGTGGGCTGTGTCAATGGGTTAATTTACACGCCGAGCTCTTCGTCACAAGCGTTATTAATGAATTTTGCAGTGATATGAGTTTTTATTTTATAATTAAGAGGCCATTAATTTTATTGTCATAGTAAAGGCATATATCTCCCGTAAGGTGGACTGACCAGACCAAAAAATTTTCTACCTGCACGACAGCTTCAGACGCGCAGCCGGAGAAGAGGAATAGCGCCGGTTTGTAAAACTCCTCACTGTGTTATGATATGATATCATAGCCACTCTGGGCTACAAGAGTGTAATGAATGAACGAATGAAATGTACACGAGTATCCTGACGCGAAACAGACAGGATATGTGTACTTGTTTTTTTTGGCTTAGGATGGTCGACGAGCTCACCGTACCGTTACCGTAGCCCATAGACATCTACAAAGTAAATACCGCCATCTACCTTTAGATATGAGTTCTAAGGTCTCCGTTTTTATAGTACAACAGCTGCCCCACCCTTTAAACCGAAACGCATTACTGCTTCACGGCAGAAATAGGCAGGGCGGTGGTACCTGTCTACCACCAATCATTATGCAAATTATAATTTGTGTGGGATTGATTTTTATTAGACGATGTCATTCCTTCACCGTGGTAGTCAATCGTAAACATTTGTTAAGTACGTATTTCATTAGAAAAATTGGTATCTGCCGGCGGGATTTGAACGCATATACACATATTATAATATATAAATTCGTGTGGGCTTACCGTATCGTATCTACTATCTATCGTTAACGTTTTTAAATTATTTACCTAATTGTTATCTAACTAATGGCGATCATTATTATCTAAAAACAGAATTCTACATCTGATTTCCGAAATGCAAATGTCCGTTTCCATTGATCAAATTGATATTATTTGTGTTACAAGGTTTCTTCTTTCTATATTTAAATATTAATTCGTGAAGAAAGAACTTTTTACCCCTTTTTCCAAAAATTGCGCGAACGGAGGAGTACGAAATTTCTCACACTTATGGAGAATATGTATAGAGAAGGAGTGCACTATGCTAATATTTTTTTTTAAATAATGCATAAAAGATACTTTAAATCAATGAAGAAAACATTACACACACTACCATCTATGTGACACAACACATACATAAAAATATACTCTTTGTTTACTGTCAATTGGGAAACTTTTGTTATTTTGTTTAAAGTCTGTGGTCGAACTGAAAATAAATTAATATTGTTTGTCTTTAATATTATTGATCTATAGTGCACTTTTGGCGAATACTGTGATTATATTATCGAATTATAATAGTGTTTGATAATAGAACCATAATAATGTTTAAACTTATAATTTCAATTAATTATAGTCGAATTTCGACTACTGCGGGGCCACTAGTCTTGAATATGAAACCAGAAGCTGGAAGCCTTTTAAGCGAATATATCATAAAAAGACGTTATATTTCATATGGTACTTATTATTTCGCTTCACTGACCAAGTGTGAAGCTTGCTCAGCAACCAAACAAAATTAAGTCACAAAAACATTCAGATTTTTTCATAACGATCAAACTAAATTAAGGAGAATTTGCAATGTTTTGAAGGTATTTTAAGATCCTACTGTTAGTCGTTAATTTTAAATACACGAAACATGCAGTTTCGCCACTATTAACTGATCGCTCTATTTCGTTCAATGACTATTTTAGTATTTCATAGATTCGGTAGGCAGCGGCTTGGCGGTAGGCAGCGGCTTGGCTTCGGTAGGCAGCGGCTTGGCTCTGCCCCTGGCATTGCTGAAGTCCATGGGCGACGGTAACCACTCACCATCAGGTGGGCCGTATGCCCGTCTGCCTACAAAGGCAATAAAAAAAATTGAATTTGGTTTTTATTACATGTCATTTACATCTGCGGCCTGTGGGTTAAGTATACGCAACTAGTTTGCAGTGCCTTGCATGACCAATATAACAATGGATTCAGGGCGCTAATGGGGCTCAGGAAACGCAATGCTTAGAAAACGAGCAGCTTCCCTGATGCGGTGGGTGCGTGGCGGCTCCAAAGGTTACCTACAACTCATTGCGAATAGAATGGAGATGGATTGTCCATTCTTCTTAACATGGAATCGCCTACATGTGGCGGGATAAATATATGTATCTCCAAATTGTATTTTCATAGATGGACAAAAATATGGTCTGACATAAATGATTATTATTATTATTATTTTTCTTGTTTTAGGGTTTTAGGGTACCCACAAAGGGAACGTTTTCCACCGAGCGGTAAAAATTGCTCAGGAGTTCGACGGTCCGAGCGTAACTTTTTGGAAGTTGTACACATGAAAACCTATCTTGAAAATATCGTTAGCGCATTAGGGCATTTGTCAAACATCTGCTGTTCTATATTACGCGACTGCTACAAAGTCAAAAGTACAGATCTTCGAAATTTAGACATTTGAATTTGAAAGGTATAAAGGCTTTATAAGAAATCATACTGAAGCAAAGGAAGGTTGTGGGTGTTTTGAATTAATCTTATAGTATTTAAAAATGACCTTTTTGCATAATATGGTTTGGTCGTCTATCCGATTCCGTGAAAATTGTGTATAGTTGCTAGTATTTTAGGGACGGTATTGGACATAGCATGTATACTGTATAATAATTGATAGCTATGCACTCGCGAAGCGGCTGCCTTTCAGCTGTTAGTAAACCTTCCATTGCTGGTTAAGCCCCAGTCAAACTAAGTGGCAAGGTCTGGACCAGCGATCTTCGGTCCTAAATGAAATAGATACGACTTAAAATTATCAAATTTGTGTATTGTCATCGGTCCTCGATAAATCTACAAAGTTTGAATGAAATCTGGCCGTTTAAAGTGGGTCAAAATCGCGTCTAAAGGAGTCAGTTACAAACATACATACAAGTGAAGCTAATATAAAGCGGGCAAAAAAAACTTTGCATGATAATAGTATAAAAAAAATGTGTATTTCCAGGTAATTTAATTTACTTAGCTAGGCATACATATGTGAAGTACTATTAACAGTATGTAATTTGTTAGCGAATTAATTTATTGGCCTACAAAATCGTGTATTTTAAATCAAACCTTCGCGTTTAATTACAGTGTCATGCTCGAGTATTTAATAAAAATGCAAAAGCCGTGTTGAAGTTTTTTTATTATTATTTATTTTTATTCGACCGCTACATTTTTCTTGTAACTTTAAATTTTTTTTTGTTACTTAGATGATGATGGAGCTCACGGCCCAGCTGTGTTCTTAGAACAAGTTTTTTTAACGTTCTCGATGGCGTAAAAGTTAACTCAAATTTGTATGAAGTTGGAACGTTTGCCTACGATTACCGCTAGGGGCGCTGTTCCAACTGCATACAAATTTTAATTAACTTTTACGCCATCGAGAACAATAATTTTACTGTAGGCTTTGTCACCACTCCGATCACACCTTGAAAATCGGAAGATAGGTGTATTATATAAACCCATATACGACGTTTTAGTGAAATTACGAAAAAAAAAACATAGGAGTGCCAGTTCATACGTTTAAATTACCTTTATTGGTAAAATAAATAATTGGTATTATGCTGACCTCGCACGGATAGTTACGATAGGTACCTAACCCGAAGGACAGCTTTATGTTCATTTTGTATTCTGTTGATATTATTACAATGCGTTGTATGCATTATATTATCTATATTTTCTTTAAGGTCTACAAATATAATATTTAGACAAATAGATGGTAGTTGTTAGCAGAATATTCAAAAGCCGACGAATAACGCTTTAGTCCGTGACTACAAAAACGAAAGTATGCGAAAAGTCAGAAATAATATAATGACAAAGGCTCGTGAAAATCAAAGAGAATCTATATATTAATACGTGAAGCAAAAACTTTCTATCCCTTTTTACGAAAATTGCGCGGACGGAGGAGTATGAAATGTTCCACACTTATAGAGAATATAGAGAAGAAGTGCACAATGCTAATATTTTTTAAAAATAATGCATAAAAGATACATTAAATCAATAAAGAAAACATTACACACACTACATACCAGGTATTTGACGCACACACGCATGCATACTATTTATTGTCAAACTTTTGTTCTTGACGTCTGTTGTCAAATTGAGAATAGATTAAATATTGTTTGTCTTTGTTAATATTTGTTTATAGTGTAGTCTTGGCGAAATTTCTGATTATAGAAGTATAAAATACAATCATAATAGTGTACAAACTTACAATTCCAATTAATTATAGTCGAATTTCGACTACTGCGGGACCACTAGTAAATACTAAAGTGTGCTTGTATTTTAAAGTTAAGGAAAATTATTACATAAGTACCTACTTAACTTTTTGTCAGTTAAAACTGCCGTACGATATCGCTGGTAAGGCTTAGTTTTAGAATGAAGAAACGGCCTTGTTTAAAACATTACTTTGCCATCCATAATTGAACCATAGAATAATAGTTTTTTTGTCGCTGTTTTTTTAAAAAGTAACTATCTTTCTGCTCGTAATTTAACATGCTGGATTACATTTTTTATAGCGCGTGATTAGAGATCAATCTTCAGCAGTGGGATGAAATGTAATCTATATTCTTTTCTAGAGTTCAAATTATTTCAATACCAAATTTTGTTAAAGCCAATTGAACGGTTTATGCGTGAAACCGTAACAGAGCTATTTTCTATTAGTAAGTAGTAGTCTAGTGCGAATAATTTTGAGTCTTTACCAAGAAAATTACCGTTTAGTACAGAGAATGTTCCAGTATTTTTTTTATTTTATTTTTTCAATCTATCAAAATATGCACCCTTATCGGCTAGCGAAGTAGTTATTTTTGCCACCCAAACATAAATCACGTTTCAAATGGCCAGTATTGTAAAACGGCTGCTTCATACCTAGTATTAATAAAGGAATATTAGCTTTTACTGCTTCATTGGCCTTGATGTTGATCAAAATATGACATGATTTAATATTTGACAAACCTACTCTTCTAGGTCAGCGGCGTTGCTTCCGCATATACGTAGATATTCGAATACTTAAATATGTATTCGAGATTGGAAACAAATCAATATGTTTTAGTAGATTATTTTAGTATAGGTACTTACGACACATAATTAAGTTTAATTCAAAACTACGTAATGGCTGTGAATGTCAATGAAAATGTTTGCGTTCTATCGAATATATATATTTTATTGTTTAGATGGGTGGGCGAGCTCAGAGCCCACCTCTCAAGGCTGCCATCTTAGGTAGGAAAAAAATTGGGGATTCTACCTCGATGCCTGGGACACCAGTTCAAACCAACAACGGTCTACTATGTATAGTAACAATAATAATAATTATAAGAAACTTAGAGAGGTGAGGAAAACAAATGCTTACGATTGAATTCCACGATGAAGGAATAACATCGTGTAATAAAAATCAAACCCGCATAATTATAATATGCGTAATTACCGGTGGTAGGACGTCTTATGAGTCCGCACGTGTAGGTACCATCCCGCCTGTTTCTGCTGTGAAGCAGTAATGAGTTTCGATTTGAAAGGTAGGGCAGCTGTTGTACTGTAAATACTGAGACCTTAGAACTCATATCTCATATCTAGAGTAGATATATCTGAACCCTTTATAACGAGACTAATAATAAATAGTATTGTACAATATAGGCAATTGTAATATACAAACAAAATTCTACCCGAATTAATAGCTTTTTGTTTTGCAGACGCTTCAAAAAATCTTATTCTGACAATTCTTTGAAACAACGATCGTTGAGAATTCACAATGACGTCAAAAGCGTTGTAATGTGTAATTGATTGATTTGAATGGAGCCGACAGTTGTTTTAATCGTTTATATTTAAATCGTTGTTGATTTAAAAGCAAGATGTAGCTTAGCAATTAAGCCGAAGTTTAAATAACTACACTAATAAAAGTTAAATTATCTTACAGAGTTTGATTGGTATTGCTATTAATTAACACAGTTAACGTGAAAATTATGTGCATATTATCATTTTCGTTGCGGAACTATTTTCAAAGGAAACCAGGTGTGGCTTTTTGATGATGAGACACATTTTGCTAATGAAAAAACGCAAAAAATTTGAGGAAGATTTTGGAAATTAACGAATTAAAAACGTATGTAGAACATATACATATACACATAAAATTAGACAGGGTGTCCCAGAAAGAATGGATAATCCTGAAACATCTAATAGTATAGTTATTGGGGACTCAAAATAAAAAAATATAAAAAAAATATTTCGTAGGTGGTACCCAAATTAAAAATAAAGAAAAAGTACCAAATTTCATGATTAAAATTTAAGTTCAGATTAACTTTTATAAAAAATTACACTAGCTACTCATACGATTTCCTGCATATTTCTTAGTATGTTCCTTGTATAATAGTATAACACAAAAAGCCTATGGATTTCATTTATTTGTAGCTGTTATATATACCAGAAACGCACAGCTGTATGGAAAATGTCAACTTTTTTAAAATACTAAATTTGGGTACTACCCAAGAATTCTTTTTGTGTCCCCAATAGCTCTACTATGAGATGTTTCAGGATTATCCATTATTTCTGGGACTGCGGAAATCGTGACGTGGAACTCTCACATTCCGAATGTTGCAGGTGCTGACCGAGAATAGTTACTTTGGGAAGTACCTATATTGGGTTGGTGCCAAACCGACGCGATGGTAAAAGGCTACCTTTGCGGATGCACATGCTTGCAGTCAGTCCCTTATGAGAGTGGTGACGCCGTCTACTCATCAAATTGGACCAGTAATTTTATTTATTACTAAGAAGGATAGACGAGCTCACGGCCCAACTGGTGCTAAGTGGTTATACCAGAGCCCGAAGACATCAACAAGGAGGAGTAGGAGTTTGAGGCGTTGTCAAAGTCAAGGGCTACTAAGCTCTTCTCCATAGAGGGCTCTTAAAGGCCTAAATGAAAATCGTCTTTAATAAAATATTTGCATTTTTTATCATCACCTTTATAATTTTCTTCATATACCTTGATCACCTTGAGCGGACCTTGGTTCTTGTGCGGGTAAATAAATAAGTATATTCTACATAGTTCTAAAATATCAAGGGATTGTACTCCAAATGAGGAATTGTAGGAATTGAAGTCACGAAAGTGTGGAGAGAGTTGGATCTGTCCGCGGAAATAGAATAACCGCGACATACGAAGTTTGACCTTTTTTTAGAAATTAGTAGTCCGTTTTTTTAAAACTAGAGAACTAATTACAGATACATTTGTTAAGAGATCATTCGAGAGCCAGGGTGAACCTGTTTAGCCTATTACCTGTTTATAGGTTATTTATTACCCCGAAAGAAGTACACATGTAATATTTTACAAAAAAAGTACACCAAAGTGTGCATTTACATTTGTCCGCTTTTGACACCGCAATGGAACAATTTTATTAACCAACAAGATTTTTAATATGCTTTTATTAGCTTCACAAGTGACTCCTCAAGTGAATTTATCTATCAACATAATAAAATCTTTCAACATAATTTTCCGCAATTTCAAGACATCCCATAATTATGTAAGGACAGACGACAATATCATAATTTTGTTGTTTTGGCGTCTAAGTATCTAAGATAAAAAAGGTATTTTGTTTATACAGGCTAAGCTATACAATAAAATCTATACGGCGGTCGATGGTAAATGTCAATCTTCTTTATCGAAATGAAAAAGTTAGTACAAATAAAAAAATCATAGATTAAATATACTAAAAAAATAGAAAAAAAAGGAGAGCTTGTTAGCTCAATTAAAAGTAGAACACTGGAATATTAATTTACTAATGAAATTACCTACTTGTAAAAATATTGGTTGCAAGTGGGTCATTTATACTTTTTTTATTAAATTAGAATTACAAATTTAACACCCGTGACACTGCGGTCTCAACAATATCTAACAAACATTTTTTTTTCGTTTATCTGTGGTTAAGCTATTTACATTCTTCTTATGAAGAATTTTCAGGTCATTAATTTTCAATTATCGCTCTAGTGTCACTGCTTTGAATGATTCAAAAAACTTTTTTTTTTTTTTTGTTAACAAACAAACGAAAGATTTCGTCCTATTGTCCAATTGATTGTTTTATATTTTATGAAGATCCTAATAGGTACTATTAAAGGATACTGACCTTTTTTTAGTATCAATCCGCTCGATACAACGACGACAAGATTGCTTAAAACAATCAATGTTCCGAGTATGTAAGCAATAAGTTGATATTTCAATAATTGTTCTTTCCCCGTATCCTTGAATAATTGAATCTCTGGGCCTTCACTCATTTTGCTCGCACTCATATTAAAATAGTCCGACATTTTGAATTTTTAATTTTTAACGAATCTCGTAATCATAGTCATGAATGGTTTGTGTAAACTCAGGATTCACGCTCCGATGGAACATGTCACGGTGAGGCTGAACGAAGAATGATATGATGTTAACATTAAAACAGCATGAGAATACCGGTCTAACTTTGTATTGTACGCACGTGTTTACATTGGTAGGGGTAAATGAAAAAGTAAATTTGTTATTGTGACGTGCTTGCTCAATGAATGATTGTAGATTCCTGGTCATGTTTATTAGTATAAAATTGTTTGTTGGTAATTAACAAATGGAATACACGAACCCGAAGCTACTTTTTCAAATTAGAATGTCATTTTTTGCACGCAAGGCTCTCATCACCTAAATGGATATGATCAATAATGGTTGTGAATTGAATTATTTTTATTGGAAGTTTAAATTATGTGCAGGGCGTGTCTCAGTTATTAATAACACGGAATGAATAAAAGAATTGGTATTTATTTCTTTTAGTACCGTAGGAAAAATATTAGTTATTCTCTTTGAGTTCTTTATAGGTACATTTGTATTTATTGGGATCCCTTAGGGCAACAGGAAAACCTTCCTTTGCACAATCACGGGTGTAGCTAGGGAATTTTCCTCGGGCGTAGCCGACGGAGTGATCACTACTATACGTTTTTAATTTCGCTAATTATATTAGAGACCATCTTTGAGTCGGTTGCATGGATTTTAAAAATAATGGAAACATTTAATGAAGTAATAATAAATTAGTGAAGTATCGTCAAAAGAGATTTCATTACCGATTTTTATACTTTTCAATAATGTCCAATTTTCTAGAATGAACAGAGCCCACCCATATGCACAGGTACCATCAACTTGTCTATTCAGTTTGAGAGGCGTAATAAGGAAGCACTTTGGTCTTCGGTTTGATGTTGAGTTGAGTTTATTTTATTTTAATACCTACCTATGCTGATAGCCTTGAGAGGCTATTTCAGCTTCGCCTTGACGTGTAGGTGAGCTCACGGAGCTCAAACCAGGAGTGTTGCTAACACTGGCCCTAGCAAGAGGAGTGCTACGCAGAATCTACCACCCTATGGGAACCGCGACCCACTGAGAATATCCGTTTTTTTTCCAAACCCACGCCTAATGATCGCCGCCGGATATCAACAGTACCAGAAGTACAGTCATTAATTTATAAATACTGAGGACTATTTTCAAAACTTGCTTAAATAAGATCACGTCACAGCGCTCATGAAACACCGTGGAGGGAAGTTTTAAAATCGTGTGTTCGTTTTTTAATTTTTACCATTTACAAGAAAGAAATTAAAGACCAAATTAAAACTGCAGTGGGAGGTCCCCTAAATGAATGCAGTAGAATGGCCTCGAGCAGGGAGAGATGGTGCGACATCGTGAGACGCATCAAGTCTGCCCCTTCCAACACTACATGACGATCACGACCACTCTGTCAAGAGTGACACGACTGAGAAGAAGAAGAAGAAACAAGAAAGAAAAAAAATATTAAAATGATTTTTCGAAAGGCTGAGGATATCCGCTATACAGTTAGGTTTAAAGAATCAGTTATATATCTATTCAATCTAATCAATTATAAAGAATCAGTGTATAGAGGCAAACAATACAAACGAACCTTTTGGTCACACGGCACTATCAATTTCCTGGCGCATGCAACAAATAGGTGATCAATAGAACGTACGTACGTATAAATCAATGTTTACCTTTATTCGATGATCGTCATTGTTTGCTTTATTAATACAGACTGTCGTAGTAACTGGTAATGGATGTACTTCCATAAAAACTTGTATGCTTAAAACCTGGTGACATCTTTTTTATTTATATTTTGTTTTATGCACTTCAAATAAGGATTGATTTTGTTTTACGCCGGCAAATTTATTAGTACGTACAGTCAACCTGAATTATTTTATGTCAAGAGGAAGTCGCCCTAATTCATCTAAGTATCGGTGGTTTCAGGAATTTCGGAGTTAAGCTACTTAAAGCTCCTGCCACTCAACAGCCATCGTCCGAACTTCGGATGAGACAGTGCTTTTGCGAGTCAGGCTGAGTGTAGGCCGTCGCGTTTCGCGCGGGTAGCATATTCGTCTGGCCCCACTGAACGTCCAGCCGCTGGACCCTTTGGTCGGCGAGCTTTTCGAAGTATGACAATTCACACCTCCCGGATATCCTAGTGGATCTGAGTCAAGAGTGCAGACATCCGTCACAAGGTTGTTCTTTATTTGTTACTATTAAAATACTCATTTTCTAATTTATTATTAGACATAGAGCACTCTTTTACATTCAATATAATATGCATGTGTTATGTATCTATTTTAATTTTGAAATTATCTGTTTAGTTTAGCGCCACTAACAGAATTAAATTCATGTGCTAAATTATCATTAACACTTATGAATTACTTAAACTTAAACTACATAAATTAGTCTTTAGTAATATGTTAAATTCCTTTAATTCCATTTTATTTTATTCCGATCCATTTAATTTTTCATCAACACAATGGTTTCGACTTTTGCTTAGAGCTGGATAGGTTGGGCAGGATGGGTCACGTTTCCTTTGTCAGTCAGATGAATGAAAAGCATCTGGTTGAAGCTGTCAAAAAACTTAGGTTTACGAAGGTTTTTTAGTTTTTCAAGAATATTAAAATTCAAAGAAAGTCAGTCTCAGAATAATCATTTAATTTAAATTTAAAATGTCTATTCTAAGACAATTTTCTAGGTAAGTTGTAGTGTGTAAACATAACCTGTAAAATAAAGAGTTAAATTATTATTTACCAAACTAAATAATTAATATACGTTATAATTTACAGTGTAGAAGACACACAGAAACTATAAAATTCAATTGTCTAATTTGCATAGTTTTATTAATGATCAATATCTTGTCAATTTCAGATTATCAATATGTCCCACAGTAAAATTTCAGTTAAATCGAAATATATCGACGACAAGTGCCTTAACGTTCAAGATCACTGAACAGCTATGGTAATATACATTAAGTATTATTTAAAGTCAATCAACTTATTTGTCAACTGGTAACATAGTAAAATTAAGGGGGTCAAAATTTTATAGCAGTTGTAAATAATGGTCAATGTTATAAATAAATTAATGTCTTGATTTTAAACAAAACTTTCGCTTAGAAAGAGAGGGAGGGAGTGTCTTTTATTGCGTATACCAAAATAAACACAAATGGAAAACATTAAATACAATAGTTGGTTTTATCGTTGCTAACTTTCAGACTAACATCAGGGGGACAAGATTCACTTCAGGAAATAAATTACCTGTGGTGTACTTATCAGTTGATAAAACAATACATTCATACATACATAAATATGGACCGCATAATGATAATTTTGCTACTTTATATATAAAAAAGAAATCTATAATTACACAATTATATATCTAATTACTCTTTTATACAGCGTATTAAAGAATAAATGCTAACAAATGCTTTATAAAAGTGATAGAAAATTAAGGCTAGTTAGAAAGTAGTAATAAGGATGTCCTGTGTACTCTATTACTCTCTAGTACTCTATTAGCTTGACTTGTCACTTTAGTCATTGGTGGCTTTCTGTTTAGTTAGTAGTTGTAAACCAACTTTTCCATGTCCTTATGAATTATAATAGAATCATTGCATTCCTAAGGCGGTGTTGACTCCTAAGGCAGCTTGAGCAGCTTGTTTATCGTAAAATTTGTTTTGCAGTTTTGTAGTAAAAAGTTTGTAATGATTTTGTTGTTTATTTCCAGTGCTGAACCGATGAAGAAAAAAAAGAAAATAGATCCTGCTATTGTTAAAGCACGCGAAGAGCGCCGTCGTAAGAAAATTGAGAAACAAATTCGAAGGCTTGAGAAGAATGCTAGACAGTTGAAACCTATTGATGAGTTGGAGGTTCCACTTCACTTGATGGATTCACTCAAGTAATTAGTTACAACAATATATTATAACAACATCACAAAAAGTGACACCTTTTGTAATGTGACCAAAGCAAAAAAAAGAGCAAAAAAAACTATATTATTATAGTTATTTTTATATTATAACATATTATACTGAGGTGATTTGTTTTGTACAATATTATTATGTTTACCAGTGGTACCGGGAAGTGTTGCATTCACCTACAGTTTATTTCCATACATTACTTTTGCCAAGTAATAAAATATGTCTAGACATAGGTTGCTTCTTTTTCCTCTATTCAGAGTCCTCGCATTATGTGTGTTTGTATATTAATACAGAATTTTTGAAGTTATACTTCTTTAGGCGCGTTATGAAAAATTGATGAGAGTGAAATTTTACGATGCGCGCGCACCGTGACACAAAATTAACAGAAATGAAGTTGCCCACTAAATCGCTCATTACAATACGACCGACGTAACTTGGCGAGTCTGAATATAGCCGCAGGTGAACTTTCCGAACCGTACCTACCGAGAATTATCGAATTTATACGATGTCAAGAAAAGGGATGTCCAATATGCGTGTTTGAGGATGTTGGTTAATCGATTTTTTTTCAAATTGATTAAAATTTAAGTATAACTTCTTACGCGCGTACATAAGTACACGCACCCTTTTTTTGTCACGTTTATCTGGTTGCTTAAAAACCTAAAAGCTATTAGACAAATTTTGATTTGTTTAGGGTTTTTTTTTTTCAAAATTGTGCAGTATTCTTAAGAATGTTAATGTTACAGAAAATATAAACGGTCTCCTGTCCAGTTGTCGGTCGAAGAAATCGAAGCCCGCGAGCTACTCCAAAAGGAATGGGCTCGTTACAAACGTGATGAATATATGAACAACATTGCACAAGTCGACAGGATCATGGCAGCCCAGAGACGCGCTCTGGACAGGCTGTACGAGGAATCAGAGGATCTGTACAATGAAGCTATTATGGTATTTTGATTATCAATTGTATGAATGATTGAAAGGTTTTTTTAAACTTTTTAAACAATGCAGTTCTCGCATAAAAAATATCAAACTCGAAGCACAGTTTCTAAATGATTAGATATTCTTACTTCGATAAGGCAATTCGTCATGATAATCGCCTTATCGTTGCCGCCGCTGATTACTCCCCGAATCCGGTTCACGCAGGAGCCACTCACCGTCGGCACCCTAGACACGTCCTTACGGATCCATCAGATCCAATAAAACTAGCATTAGACGCCTTCCGCTCTAACACTAGCAGTAGAGACCCCGGTAACCGTACTCCTCGAACTCGGCAAAGAGTTCGACGTGCAACCTAACCTAAACATCAGCCCGTTTCTCGCCGGATCTTCTCAGCGGGTCGCGATTCCGATCAGGTAGTAGATTCATTCGCGAAGCAACTACTCTTGAGTTCTTAGGTCTCCCTTGGAGGCGGTCGGGTAGCTCTTAGCAAATCCCGTCCCTTCTGGCTAAGCCCTTGCTCGCCCACCTGTCCTTGTGAAACTGGAAAGGTCTCCTAGCCACCATCCAGTAAACCCTCAATCATAAAAATTAAAAAAAAGTAGATATTATACGTAATAGAAATTAATATATACATTATTATATATTTCCAACAATTCTGAGGGTTGTATTCGTTCTGGAAAGATGAAGGTTAGTCCTTTTCACATGTAGATCAGTAAAATTGTATTTCTTTTGGGACGAGTAGATTTTTGCTTTGGAGAATTCATGCGTCCTCGATAGCCGTGGAGTATTATACAATGAAATTGAGACTTTGAACTCACGTCTCGAGGTAGTTGGCTCATTCACGTTGCGCTGTCTATGGGATTCAGTGTCTACTTAATACTAGACGGATCTTGAGCTCATCTGGTTATCAGCGTTAAAAAATTCCAGCTTGGACAATACGACAACATGAATTTCTTTTACATAATACTTATTTAAAAAATAAAGTTCGACCACAGAATCTGTAAAGGAAGTCACACATATCGAAGATACTATAAACTATCAAATATATATTATGATCTTAACCATGTGTGATAGTTCATACAAAATGTATCCTCATTATCCTGCCCTTCTCCCAGTCACCTGGGGTCGGCGCAACATGTTTTCTCCTTCCATACTCTTCTATCATATACTATTTCTTCGCTCACTCCCCTCTTACCCATATCGTATTTCACACAATCTATTCATTTCTTCTTAGGTCTACCTCTTCCTCTATATCCTTCCACATTCATAGTTAACATTCTCTTACCAACCTCATTTTCATTTCGTCTCATCACATGTCCATACCATCCCAAACGCGCACTCCTCAGCTTCTCTGTCACAGGTGCCACTTTCAGACTTCCTCTAACATATTAATTCCGTATTCTATCCATTCTCGTTACTCCACACATCCATCGCAACATTCGCATCTCTACTGCATGCAATCGCCTTTCATACAAAATGTATAACGAGCGATATTGTATGTTAAGATGTGTGACGCCCTTAAGCATTTAAACGTTGCAAATAATATCATATAATGATCATAACAAAGGCAAGATTAAACTGTAAAATTAGTGTTAATTATGTTTTCGGCTCTCTCGGAAGCCGCAGAAAAATTTAATCGCTAAAATCAAATTTAACATTGACTCCTGAGGGATGCGTTTTTTTTATTGCTTAGATGGGTGGACGAGCTCACAGCCCACCTGGTGTTAAGTGGTTACTGGAGCCCATAGACATCTACAACGCAAATGCGCCACCCATCTTGAGATATAAGTTCTAAGATCTCAGTATAGTTACAACGGCTGCCCCACCCTTCAAACTGAAACGCATTACTGCTTCACGGCAGAAACAGGCAGGGCGGTGGTACCCACCCGCGCGGACTCACAAGAGGTCCTACCACCAGTAATTGCGCAAATTATAATTTTGCGGGTTTCATTTTTATTACACGATGCTATTCCTTCATCGTGGAAGTCAATCGTGAACATTTGTTGAGTACGTAATTCATTCGAAAAATTGGTACCCGCCTGGGATTCGAACACCGTTGCATCGCTCAACGCGAATGCACCGGACGTCTTATCCCTTAGGCCACGACGACTTCAGATCTGAAATTAATGTTTCTCTTTCTATTTTTCAGCCCGACTTGCAACTACTGCCTTATACCATAAGCGGTCCGGTAGCGACGCCGCCCATCAAGGACTACGAATCGCCCGACGGAGAATACATAGACGTGTCTAAGAAATGGGATAATTAGTGAATTTATTTATCTGTGCTTATTAACAAATAGGTAACAGCCAGTATTTGTGTATCGAATGTTAGTTCGAGTACCGCAAACACAATTTCCAATAGAACTGTGTGCTTAGTGCGAGTTTGTTAACGTTCTTGATGGCGTAAAGATAACTCAAAATTTGTATGCAGTTGGAACAGCGCCCCTAGCGGCAAACGTAGGCAACGTAGTTTACTGGCAAATGTAGTTTACTGGTGGTAGAACCTCTTGTGAGTTCGCGCGGGTAGGTACCACCGCCTTGCCTATTTCTGCCGTGAAGCAGTAATGCGTTTCGGTTTGAAGGGTGGGGCAGCCGTATATCTCAAGGTGGGTGGCGCATTTACGTTGTAGATGTCTATGGGCTCCAGTAACCATTTAACACCAGGTGGGCTGTGAGCTCATCCACCCATCTAAGCAATAAAAAAAACAAAAAACGTTTCAACTCCATACAAATTTGAGCTAACTTTCTCGCTATCGAGAACGTTACAAAACTCGTACTAAGCACACAGGACGCCATCTTCAAATTTGTTTAGTGTGCTATATCTGCGTTTGCCGCTAGGGGCGCTGCTCTCAACTCCATACAAATATGAGTTAACTTTTACGCGATCGAGAAGTTAAAAACTCGCACTGAGCACACTGCAGTGATTGTCGAACGTAATATAAACTCTTAAATTTACACAAATGTTGTATTTATTTAGGCAAGAGAAGGCATGTAATTCGAAATAAGACAGGCACTTCTGTTTTATTTGTTTATAAATGTGTTTTTATGTGAAATTTGTTGATTTGAATAAAATGTACAGTTTTTATTTCCTTGTGGTTTAAGTATTACTTTTGGTTTAAGTATTAAATAGCTTGATTTTAAAAAAACGTACGAGCCTCGTCGTGGAAGTTAAAAGCGCTTTCATATAATAAGAACAGACTTCAATATGCGTTAAGACCGAAGGAATATTGTCGCGTGTGAAAGAATCTGTGGTGGGTATCAAACAACACAGGATATTTGATATGGACTTTTTGGCGGAAACGCGAGGAGTGAAGCTGTGTGATTTGTTTAAAAAAAAAAAAAAAATCAAAGACAAAAGTCTATTTAGTGTTTCTTCAGGTTTAAATGTGTAATAACGGTGGTTTATTAACTGTTTAATATCTGTGAAAGTGCACAAAAGTGGGAAAATGAAACAAAGCCGCTGACGTAACTTCTCGGGATCCTCCAAAAAGTCCACTGAAAAAATATCAGTAAATGACCACCAATTTTACTAAGTTTATATTTCATCCCATATCATCTCATTTCATTTAATTTCATCCCATGATTAATGTCTCAAATTAATCAACTTCATTTCATTTCATTCAAAATTATCGTTTTTCATAAAAATAAGAATATTAATTAAAATAAGACATGACTTAAAGGTCTTAGTAACCAAATCCCTTTAAAAAAAAAATTGACATGATGCCTGAATTTCGCTTACGACATTTTCAAGTTAAGCTTGCATATACACAAGTTCCGAACAATAACATTCGGACCGTCGGTCTACCGAGCAATATCACCAGCTCGGTGGAAGATTTTTCCTTGCGTTGTAATTCCCAAATTCAATGAAAATTAACATTGCGTAATAATTCGACGATGCCAATGGTCATGATGTAGACATTGTGGACTAACCGCTAAAGGATAAGACGCCCGGTTTTTATTTATTTCTTTTTTATTGCCTAGATGGGTGGACGAGCTCACAGTCCACCTAGTGTTAAGTGGTTACTGGAGCCCATAGACATCTGCGTACAACGTAAATGCGCCACCCACCTTGAGATATAATTTCTAAGGTCTCAGTATAGTTTACAACGGCTGCCCCATCCTTCAAGCCGAAACGCATTACTGGTTCACGGCAGAAATAGGCAGGGCGGTGGTACCTACCCGCGCGGACTCACAAGAGATCCTACCACCAAATCTACTCTAATCTGGCGATGCAACCTCGCCAGCTATAAAGTACCGAATTATTTTTTACTTCCTAAGGACGTACGTACTTAACAATACTTACACGTAACACTTCAGGAGCGACTTCGACAATATTATCATTGTTTGTTGTCGTTTAGTGACAAATAAATACGTAAATTTCGTAAATTTATGTAAATTTGCTGGTATTTATTGGTCACAGGGCGTATTGTAAGCCCGCAAGTGTAGGTACAACTTTTTATTTATGCACTGAAATTTTGACCTCTGTCGTCAATGTGGTGGCATTCACGGTGTGATACCTAATTCCTATGGTAACAGCCTTTTTTTCTCGGGCCGGGGGGTGAAGGAGCGCGTGGTATGTGGAACTTTATGATCTGCAGATGTTGGCTACGGTAACAGCCTAACGTAAGTTGGCGGTGACCTATATTACCTGTCAATTGTAATAGGTTGGGGAAAAGTCTTTTCGCATTATAGTATGTACCTATGAACTTAAAAATAAAATCTCTTTGGCTATTTGCTTTGGCTTTGGCTATTTGGCTATTTGTATCTGGCTGGTTTTAATTTTTTAAGTTTAAATTTTAAAGAAGATAATTCCAAATTCAAATAAGGAAAATGTGTGATTTTTATTTATTTTTCGTACTGTCAAGATGTGTAAATCTAATGAAGAAATTCGATACATTTAAAAATTTTACTACAAAAAAGGTAAAAATGCAACGCAAGCTGCGAAAAAAAATTGCAACGTTTATGGACCTAGTGCAGTGTCTGTGAGAGTAGCATAAAGGTTTAAGCGTTTTCATTCCGGAAATTTTGATGTCAAAGATGCGCATCGCTCTGGTCGCCCTATTACGGATAAAATGGATGCCATTTTTAAAAAAAATGGAGCAAGATCGGCATATCAGTAGTTACGACATACCTGAAGAACTGGGAATTGACCACAGAACAGTTTTGGCGCATTTGAAAAAAACTGGGTACACGAAAAAGCTCGATATTTGGGTACCTCACGAGCTCACTGAAAGAAACCTAATGAACCGTGTACTCATTTGTTATTCTTTATTACGATGTAATGAAACCGAACCATTTTTGAAGAAGCAACTGGTGATGAAAAGTGGATAACCTACGACAAGAACGTGCGAAAAAGGTCGCGGTCAAAAGCCGGTCAGGCTTCACAGACTGGCGAAACCCGGGTTAACTCGCAACAAGGTGATGCTGTGTGTTTGGTGGGTTTGGAAGGGCGTTATTCATTATGAGCTGTTACCACTAGGCAGGCCCATCGATTCTGAACTCTACTGCGAACAACTGATGAGATTAAAGCAAGAGGTGGAGAGAAAGCGGCCGGAATTAATCAACAGAAGGGGTGTAGTTTTTCATCATGATAACGCTAGACCTCACACATCTTTAGCAACTCAGCAAAAATTAAGAGAGCTTGACTGGGAGGTGTTAATGCATCCGCCGTATAGTCCTGACCTTCAGATTTCCTGTTTCAATCTCTTCAGAATTCTTTAGGCAGTGTCAGGTTAACATCACGAGAGGACTGCCAAAACCAATTGTCGCGGTATTTTGATCAGAAGCTCCAAAATTTCTATAGCAATGGCATCATGTCCCTACCTACAAGATGGCAAAAAGTTATCGAACAAAATGGTACCTACATACTTTAGTTAAATATAAATAAACTATATTAAAAAAATGTTGTGAATTTTCTTAAAAAATGCGAAGAAACTTTTTCTCCGACCTATTATTATACTATGGTTGTCCTACCCTCTAAAATCTGTGAACTGGGTGAATCGTGACAGAGGACGCCTCACTTTCCGGCTCACGCAGGTGCTCACTGGGCATGGTTGCTTCGGTGAGTTCCTGCACCGGATCGGAGCCGAGCCGACAGCAGAGTGCCACCATTGTGGTTGCGACTTGGACACGGCGGAGCACACGCTCGTTGCCTGCCCCGCATGGGAGGGGTGGCGCCGTGTCCTCGTCGCAAAAATAGGAAACGACTTGTCGTTGCCGAGTGTTGTGGCATCGATGCTCGGCGACGACGAGTCGTGGAAGGCGATGCTCGACTTCTGCGAGTGCACCATCTCGCAGAAGGAGGNGGTAAGTGACATGGTCACTACACAAGGGGGTCGCGGGTTCGAATCCCGCCAAGGGAAGATATTTGTATGATAAATATAAATGTCTTTTCCAGGGTTATGGATGTATATTAAATATATGTATGTGTATAATAAAAATATTACATTTATTTCCGTTATCTGGTACCTGTAACACAAGTTCTTTACGAACTTATCACGGGACTAGTTAACGTGGCGTGATTGTTAGTAAATATTTAATTATTTATTAAAAAAAAAAAAAAAACCGCTAATGAGTTGTTAGGTCTCCTTTGGAGGCGGTCGGGTAGCTGTTAGCAAATCTCGCCCCTTCTGGCTGAGTCCATGCTCGTCCACCTGTCATTGTGAAACTGGAAAGGGCCACCAATAAACCATCAATCATAAAAAAAGCCTCTCAAGGCTTACCAGCTTACCTACGTAACAAAACAAAAAGAAATTGAATCGACCACGGAGCTTTCCGTTTCGAAGAATTGGTGTCAAAGAAAGATGCGTGATGAAATTCACCGTGATATCAATAAGTTCTTGTAAGTGCTCAGAAACAGATGTGCCGTGTAATTTCTTAAATGTTAAGTGTACTAGCCATGGATTAATTGGATGTTCATCTGCTTTAGATGTCAAAAAACATGGCTTGGTATTATAAATTTCAAAGTTCAACAAATCTCGGCATTTTAAATAATGTCTACTTTTTTGTTTTTCTGTCTGACAATTCTTTTTTTTTCCAAACCCACGCCTAATGATCTCCGCCGGATATCAACAGTACTAGAAGTACAGTCATTAACTTATAAATACTGAGGACTATTTTCAAAACTTGTTTAAGAAGATCACGTCACAGCGCTCATGAAACACCGTGGAGGGAAGTTTTAAAACCGTGTGTTTGTTTTTTAATTTTTACCAGTTACAAGAAAGAAAAAAAATATTAAAATGATTTTTCGAAAGGCTGAGGATATCCTCTATACAGTTATAAAAAATCATTTATATATCAATTCAATATAATCAATTATAAAGAATCAGTGTATAGAGGCAAACAATACAAACGAACCTTTTGGTCACACGGCACTATCAATTTACTAGCGCATGCAACAAATAGGTGATCAATAGAACGTACCTACGTACGTATAAATCAATGTTTACCTTTATTCCATGATCGTCATTGTTTGCTTTATTAATACAGACTGTCGTAGTAACTGGTAATGGATGTACTTCCATAAAAAACTTGTATGCATAAAAACCTGGTGACATCTTTTTTACTTATATTTTGTTTTATGCAATTCAAATAAGGATTGATTTTGTTTTACGCCGGCTAATTTATTAGTACGTACAGTCAACCTGAATTATTTTATGTCAAGAGGAAGTCGCCTTAATTCATCTAAGTATCGGTGGTTTCGGGAATTTTGTAGTTAAAGCTACTTAAAGCTCCTGCCGCTCAACAACCTTCGTCCGAACTTCGGATGAGACAGTGCTTTTGCGAGTCAGGCTGAGTGTAGGCCGTCGCATTTCGCGCGGGTAGCATTTTTATCTGGCCCCACTGGACGTCCAGTTGCTGGACCCCTTGGTCGGCAAGCTTTTCGAAGTATGCCTTGACGACACAGTCAATTCACACCTCCCGCATACCGTAGTGGAACTGAGTCAAGAGTGCAGACATCCGTCACAAGGTTGTTCTTTATTTGTTACTATTAAAATACTCATTTTCTAATTTATTATTAGACATAGATCACACTTTTATATTCAATATAATATGCATGTGCTAGATATCTATTTCAATTTTGAAATTATCTGTTTAGTTTAGCGCCACTAAAATAATTAAATTCATGTGCTAAATTATGATTAACATTTATGAATTCCTTAAACTTAAAATACATAAATTAGTCTATAGTAATATTTTAAATTCCTTTAATTCCATTTTATTTTATTCCGATCCATTTAACTTTTCATCAACACAATGGTTTCGACTTTTGTTTAGAGCTGGATAGGTTGGGCTGGATGGGTCACGTTTCCTTTGTCTTTGTCAGTCAGATGAATGAAAAGCATCTGGTTGAAGCTGTCAAAAAACTTAAGTTTGCGGTGGCTTTTTAGTTTTTCAAGAATATTATAATATCAAAGAAAGTCAGTCTCGGAATAATCATTTAATTTAAATTTAAAATGTCTATTCTAAGACAATTTTCTAGGTAAATTGTAGTGTGTAAACATAACCTATAAAATAAAGAGTTAAATTATTATTTACCAAACTAAATAATTAATATACGTAATAATTTACAGTGTACTTCTACACACAGAAACTATAAAATTCAATTATCAAATTTGCATAGTTTTATTAATGATCAATATCTTGTCAATTTCAGATTATCAATATGTCCCACAGTAAAATTTCAGTTAAATCGAAATATATCGACGACAAGTGCCTTAACGTTCAAGATCACTGAACAGCTATGGTAATATACATTAAGTATTATTTAAAGTCAATCAACTTATTTGTCAACTGGTAACATAGTAAAATTAAGGGGGCCAAAATTTTATAGCAGTTGTAAATAATGGTCAATGTTATAAATAAATTAATGTCTTGATTTAAAAAAAAAAACTTCCGCATAGAAAGAGAGGGAGGGAGTGTCTTTTATTGCGTATACCAAAATAAACACAAATGGAAAACATTAAATACAAAAATGCAATAGTTGGTTTTATCGTTGCTAACTTTCAGACTAACATCAGGGGGATAAGATTCACTTCAGGAAAAAAAATACCTGTGGTGTACTTATCGGTTGATAAAAGAATATATTCAACAATATGGACCGCATAATGATAATTTTGCTACTTTATATATAAAAAGAAATCTATAATTACACAATTATATATCTAATTACTCACTTTTTACAGCATTACTTTACTTTTATACAGCATATTAAATTATAAATGATAACAAATGCTTTATAAAAGTGATAGAAAATTAAGGCTAGTTAGAAAATAGCAATAAGGATCTCCTGTGTACCTATCTATGGAGGTAGTGAGGAATTATTTTCAGAAAAATGGTTACATTTTACATGTATTTTAGAATTGTTCCCATTTAACTAGTTTTTTACACGATATTATACAAATTTTCTTATTCATAACTAGTGAGTGATCAACACTTATAAGTGATGGATAGTGCTCTGTAAGCACCTAAATTCTATCAAACCGAACCCCGGTTACGCCATTCAACATTTTGGATGAAAAATCTGATAAAGGCTAGTAAAAATCATACCAAAACTGTTGTGCTTAGAAAAACAAAGCCTACACACAGACAGATACAATCAGTGACTAGTTTATATCATGTATAGTGACTTCTATTCATCATGTTTAGCTGTAATCATTGCTGTAATTATTGAACGCTAACATTAATCAACTGCTAGCCATTGGCTTTTCTATTGCCAATGCTTATGAACTGATACTCTATTAGCTTGACTTGTCACTTTAGTCATTGATGGCTTTCTGCTGTGTTAGTAGTTGTAAACCAACTTTTCCATGTCCTTATGAGTTATAATAGAATCATTGCATGCCTAAGGCATTAAGGATGTTAGCCTCCATCAACTAATATTAATGTTGAACATTGTTTATTTTTTTGTAGAGTTTTGTAGTAAAAAGTGATTGAGTCTGTAATGATTTTGTTGTTTATTTCCAGGGCTGAACCGATGAAGAAAAAAAAGAAAATAGATCCTGCTATTGTTAAAGCACGCGAAGAGCGCCGTCGTAAGAAAATTGAGAAACAAATTCGGAGGCTTGAGAAAAATGCTAGACAGTTAAAACCTATTGATGAGTTGGAGGTTCCACTTCACTTGATGGATTCACTCAAGTAATTAGTTACAACAATATATTATAACAACATCACAAAAAGTGACACCTTTTGTAATGTTACCAAAGCAAAAAAAAGAGCAAAAAAATATATATTATTATAGTTCTTTTTATATTATAATGAGGTGATCTGTTTTGTACAATATTATTATGTTTACCAGTGGTACCGGGAAGTGTTGCATTCACCTACAGTTTATTTCCATACATTACTTTTGCCAAGTAATAAAATATGTCTAGACATAGGTTAGGTCTTTTTTCCTCTATTCAGAGTCCTCGCATTATGTGTGTTTGTATATTAATACAGAATTTTTGAAGTTATACTTCTTTAGGCGCGTTATGAAAAATTGATGAGAGTGAAATTTTACGATGCGCGCACCGTGACACAAAATTAACAGAAATGAAGTTGCCCACTAAATCGTTCATTACAATACGACCGACGTAACTTGGCGAGTCTGAATATAGCCGCAGGTGAACTTTCCGAAACGTTCCGAGAATTACCGAATTTATACGATGTCAAGAAAAGGGATGTCCAATATGCGTGTTTGAGGATGTTGGTTAATCGATTTTTTTTCAAATTGATTAAAATTTAAGTATAACTGCTTACGCGCGTACATAAGTACACGCACCCTTTTTTTTGTCACGTTTATCTGGTTGCTTAAAAACCTAAAAGCTATTGACAAATTTTGATTTGGGTTTTTTTTTTTCAAAATTGTGTAATATTCTTAAGAATGTTAATGTTACAGAAAATATAAACGGCCTCCTGTTCAGTTGTCGGTCGAAGAAATCGAAGCCCGCGAGCTACTCCAAAAGGAATGGGCTCGTTACAAACGTGATGAATATATGAACAACATTGCACAAGTCGACAGGATCATGGCAGCCCAGAAACGCGCTCTGGACAGGCTGTACGAGGAATCAGAGGATCTGTACAATGAAGCTATTATGGTATATTGATGATCAATTGTATGAATTATTGGAATTTTTTTTTAAACTTTTTAATCAATGCAGTTCTCTCATAAAAAAATATCAAACTTTGTTTCGATTCTAAATGATTATTATCTGATACCTTTAAACGTGCAATTCTTGTATATATATATACAATCTGAATCTCGGAAACGGCTCCAACGATTTTCATAAAATGTAGTATACAGGGAATTTCGGGGGCGGTAAATCGATCTAGCTACGATTTATTTTCAGAAAATGTTGTTTTATCCGTGTTGATTATCAACTCTTCCCGACATCTATTGGCGAATAATAATACTATTTTTCTTAATTGAGGGCAGCTAACCGCTTTAAAGACACAACAAGATGGCGTTATTAAAAAAAAACCGAGCAAAGCTCGGCCATCATCTAGTAGTATACGTACATTAGTATTTATTTCCATCAATTCTGAGGGTTATATTCGTTCTCGAAAGACGAAGGCTAGTCCGATCCATATGTAGGTCAGTAAAATAATTTTTTTTTGGGACCAGTCGATTTCTGCCTTGGAGAATTCATGCGTTCTCGACACTCGAGAAGTATACAATGAAATGAAGACTTCGAACTCACGTCTTGAGGTGGTTGGTTCATTCACGTTGCGCTGTCTATAGGGATTCAGTGTCTACTTAATACTAGACGGAGCTCATCTGGTCATCAGCATTAAAAAATTCCAGCTTGGGCAATACGACAACATGAATTTGTTTTACATAATGCTTATTTAAAAAATTAAGTTCGACCACAGAATCTGTAAAGGGCGTCACACATGTCGAAGATACTATAAACTATCAAATATATATGATCTTAACCATGTGTGATAGTTCACACAAAATGTATCCTCATTATCCTGCCCTTCTCCCAGTCACCTGGGGTCGGCGCAACATGTTTTCTCCTTCCATACTCTTCTATTATATACCATTTCTTCGCTCACTCCCCTCTTACCCATATCGTATTTCACACAATCTATCCATTTCTTCTTAGGTCTACCTTTTCCTCTATATCCTTCCACAACCTCATTTTCATTTCGTCTCATCACATGTCCATACCATCCCAAACGCACACTCCTCAGCTTCTCTGTCACAGGTGCCACTTTCAGACTTCCTATAACATATTCATTCCGTATTCTATCCATTCTCGTTACTCCACACATCCATCGCAACATTCGCATCTCTGCCGCATGCAATCGCCTTTCATAAAAAAGGTATAACGAGCGATATTGTATGTTAAGATGTGTGACGCCCTTAAGCATTTTAAACGTCGCAAATAATATCATATAATGATCATAACAAAGGCAAGATTAAACTGTAAAATTAGTGTTAATTATGTCTTTGGCTCGCTCGGAAGCCGCAGAAAAATTTAATCGCTAAAATCAAATTTAACATTGACTCGGGGATGTGTGTCCGAGGTTAATGTTTTTCTTATTGTTTTTCAGCCCGACTTGCAACTACTGCCTTATACCATAAGCGGTCCGGTAGCGACGCCGCCCATCAAGGACTACGAATCGCCCGACGGAGAATACATTGATGTGTCGAAGAAATGGGACAATTAGTGTATTTATTTATCTGTGCTGATTAACAAATAACAGCCAGTATTTGTGTATCGAGTTCGAGTTAGTTCGAGTACCGCAAACACAATTTCCAATAGAACTGTTTGCTCAGTGCGAGTTTATTAACGTCCTCGATAGCGTAAAGATAACTAAAATTTTGTATGCAGTTGGAACAGCGCCCCTAGCGGCAAACGTAGGCAAACGTTTCAACTCCATACAAATTTGAGTTAACTTTCTCGCTATCGAGAACGGCACAAAACTCGTACTAAGCACATAGGACGCCATCTTGAAATTTGTTCAGTGTGCTACATTTGCGTGCACAATATCGTCTTTTCGCATTAAAAGTGTACAATTTCCAAAAACATTCGAAATTGAGTTAATATGCGGAATCATTTGGTATCACCGGTGTTTTTCTCATAAATACTGTCAAAAGAGCGTAGTTTAGTTTTAGTTTTTTTTTATTTAGTTTACCTATGTTTCGACTACTATTAACAAAATTAATAAATAATTTTATCTTACTTTAAAAGACCGATAATTTGACTGGTAAAAAATAAGAAATAAATGTTGCAAAGATGATTAATAGCAAAAATATCACATGTTAAACCTTTAAAACACTCTCTTGTAAAATTCGTAAGTTTTGAGATTATACAGTTTTAATGCGAGAAGACGATATGAGTTAACTTTTACGCGATTGAGAAGTTAAAAAACTCGCACTGAGCACACTGCAGTGATTGTCGAACGTAATATAAACTCTTAAATTTACTCTTAAATGTTGTATTTATTTAGGCAACAGAAGGCATGTAATTAAAAATAATATAGGCACTTCTGTTTTATTTGTTTATATATGTGTTTTTATGTGTAATTTGTTGATTTGAATAAAATGTACAGCTCTTATTTACGTGTGTTACTTTTGGTTTAGGTATTGAGTAGCTTGATTTAAAAAACGTACGATTCAAATTCCAAGCCTCGTCGTGAAAGTTAAAAGCGCTTTCATATAATAATAACAGACTTCAATATGCGTTAAAATCCGAAGGTATACTGTCGTGTGTGAAAGAATCTGTGGCGGGTAGCCATCAAACAACACAAGATATTTGATATGGACTTTTTGGCGGAAACGCGAGGAGTGAAGCTGTGTGGTTTGTTTTATTTTGTCTATTTAGTGTTTCTTCAGGTTTAAATGTGTAATAACGGTGGTTTATTAACTGTTTAATATCTGTGAAAGTGCACAAAAGTGGGAAAATGAAACAAAGCCGCTGACGTAACTTCTCGGGATCCTCCAAAAAGTCCACTGAAAAAATCTCAGTAAATGACCACCAATTTTATATTTCATCCCATATCATCTCATTTCATTTCATTTCATCCCATGATTAATGTCTCAAATTAATCAACTTCATTTCATTTCATTCAAAATTATCGTTTTTCATAAAAATAAGAATATTAATTAAAATAAGACATGACTTAAAGGTCTTAGTAAACAGGTCATAAAATCCCTTTAAAAAAAAAATTAACATGATGCCTGAATTTCGCTTACGACATTTTCAAGGTAAGCTTGCATATACACAAGTTCCGAACAATAACATTCGGGCCGTCGGTCTACCGAGCAATATCACCAGCTCGGTGGAAGATCTTTCCTTGCGTCGTAATTCCCAAATTCAATGAAAATTAACATTGCATAATAATTCGACGATACCAATGGTCATGATGTAGACATTGTGGACTAACCGCTCAAGGATAAGACGGGCGTCTTTTTTTATTTATTTTTATTGCTTAGATGGGTGGACGAGCTCACAGCCCAGGTGTTAAGTGGTTACTGGAGCCCATAGACATCTACAACGTAAATTCGCCACCCACCTTGAGATATAAGTTCTAAGGCCTCTGTATAGTTTACAACGGCTGCCCCATCCTTCAACCCGAAATGCATTACTGGTTCACGGCAGAAATAGGCAGGGCGGTGGTACCTATCCGCGCGGACTTACAAGAGATCCTACCACCAAATCTACTCGAATCTAGCGATGCGACCTCGCCAGCTATAAAGTACCGAATTATTTTTTACTTTCTAAGGACGTACGTACTTAACAATACCTACACGTAACACTTCACGAGCGACTCCACAATGAAAATCGTTTAGTGACAAGGGAATACGTCAATTTTGTAAATTTATGTATATATGCTGGTATTTATTGGTCACAGGGCGTATTGTAAGCCCGCAAGTGTAGGTATAACTATTTCTGCACTGAAATGGCCTCGGTTGTCAATCTGGTGGCATTCACGGTATTACACCTAATTCCTACGGTAACAGAATCTCCTACGAAGTCCACGCGCCTAGGGGGAGCGCGTGGTATATGGAACTTGATGATCTGCAGATGTTGGCTACGGTAACAGCCTAACGTAAGTTGGCGGTGACCTATGTTATCTGTCAATTGTAATAGGTTGGGGAAAAACGTCTTTTCGCATTATAGTATGTATGAACTTGTAATAAAATCTCTTTGGCTATACTATTTGTATCTGGCTGGTTTTGGTATAACTAAAAGTTTAAATTTTAAAGAAGATAATTCCAAATTCAAATAAGGAAAATGTGTGATTTTTATTTATTTTTCGTACTGTCAAGATGTGTAAATCTATTGAAGAAATTCGATACATTTAAAAATTTTACTACAAAAAAGGTAAAAATGCAACGCAAGCCGCGAAAAAAATTTGCAACGTTGATGGACCTAGTGCAGTGTCTGTGAGAGTAGCACAAAGGTTTAAGCGTTTTCAATCCGGAAATTTTGATGTCAAAGATGCACATCGCTCTGGTCGCCCTATTACGGATAAAATGGATGCCATTTTTAAAAAAAATGGAGCAAGATCGGCATATCAGTAGTTACGACGTAGCTGAAGAACTGGGAATTGACCACAAAACAGTTTTGGCGCATTTGAAAAAAACTGGGTACACAAAAAAGCTCGATATTTGGGTACCTCACGAGCTCACTGAAAGAAACCTAATGAACCGTATACTCATTTGTTATTCTTTATTACGATGTAATGAAACCGAACCATTTTTAAAGAAGCTCATAACTGGTGATGAAAAGTGGATCACGTACGACAAGAACGTGCGAAAAAGGTCGCGGTCAAAGGCCGGTCAGGCTTCACAGACTGTGGCGAAACCCGGGTTAACTCGCAACAAGGTGATGCTGTGTGTTTGGTGGGCTTGGAAGGGCATTATTCATTATGAGCTGTTACCACCAGGCAGGCCCATCGATTCTGAACTCTACTGCGAACAACTGATGAGATTAAAGCAAGAAGTCGAGAGAAAGCGGCCGGAATTAATCAACAGAAGAGGTCTGGTTTTTCATCATGATAACGCTAGACCTCACACATCTTTAGCCGCTCAGCAAAAATTAAGAGAGCTTGGCTGGGAGGTGTTAATGCATCCGCCGTATAGTCATGATTTCCTGTTTCAGTCTCTTCAGAATTGTTTAGGCAGCGTCAGGTTAACATCACGAGAGCACTGCCAAAACCAATTGTCGCGGTATTTTGATCAGAAGTCCCAAAATTTCTATAGCAATGGGATCATGTCCCTACCTACAAGATGGCAAAAAGTTATCGAACAAAATGGTACCTACATACTGTAGTTAAATGTAAATAAACTATATTAAAAATATGTGAATTTTCTTAAAAAAATGCGAAGAAACTTTTTCTCCGACCTATTATTATACTATGGTTGTCCTACCCTCTAAAATCAAGCACTTAGCTTCTTCGATCAATAATAGCTTAGCTTGCTTAGTTAGCTTAGCTTAGAGCTTAGCCCAGAAACAGGTAGGATGACGCTACCTAACCGTGCGAACTCATACACTCTTACCATCAGTAAATAAATCACTTCAGATTAAAAATTTGATACCGTAGCGCAAAGAAAATCGTAGCGAAAAATATAATATAATCCCCGAACACAGTTTTAATAAATCTGCCCCACTACGAGTATTATTACAAGTCAACGTTGTTTGGTAATGGAAAATTGTTTGTCATAGTATGTATTAGAAGTTATCCAAGTGTAAAATCAATTTCTACGCGTCGTTTACTGCAAAATCATTCAATTGAATCCAACTAGGCACAACTTTCTTTATAACGTTTATTTTTCGTGTCTAGTAAAGTTACAAAGCATTTACTTTAGTATTAAACAATGATTATTTTAAGTTACATTCGGTATAATTAGATAATGTTTAGTTAAGTACTTGATGTTTTGAAAGTAAGTACTTTTCTCCAAACATACTTGCTCCAAATAGCTTACTAATACATATATACAAACATACACACAAATACATCGGATATAGTTTAGTAAAATAACCATAATAAAAACTTTGAATGATGGTAGGACGTCTTGTGCCTGGACGGGTAGGTATTATCACATTTTGGCCGTGAAGCAGTAATGCGTTTCGGTTTGAAGGGTGGGACAGCCGTTAAGCTGTATGTTAGGTCTCCATTGGAGGCGCTCGTGTAGCAGATAGCAAATCACGCCCCATAAGCATCCAAAGACCTAGTTTTTGGATTTCTCGGGACCCTGATTCCTTACAGCGTAACATAAATACTAAAACTTAACACTATTTTCCACAGTGCGAATAACATTCCTAGCAACAATCATGGCGCTCTCCCTAAAAATGTCAACAACTTTGAAATGGCCAGATCCAAAGCACGATGACGTCATGTTCATCGGGAACCCGATAGAATCGAATATGCCAAGTCATTGGTTGCCTAAAAGCATAGTAAAGAAAATCATTGAAATGCGTGTATCAAAAGATGAAAACAATTACAAACCTAGCAGAATGACGTGGAACATAAAAACAACATTGCCTAATCGAAATTACAAAAAGAAATCGTTGATGTTTATCATAAAATCAACTTCTAGTTTCAAGAAAGATATCACGACTCAAATATCAGTTACCAGTACAACAAAACATATTGGCGGCATAACCGAAGACAATACTTTTAGGACACCTGGATTTACACAGGATATCACACAAAATATTGAAGATCTTTCAACGCACGCTACAGAGGTTAATCTTTTATACCCCACACCTGTGACTGAATCTGCTGATTTGAATTCTAACACTACTCTGCCCTTAGTTTCAACATCTAAAACCGATTATTCGAGTGATAGTGGAACATCATCGATTTCTTCTCACACTCCGATAGATTCTGGCACAACTAAAGCCATGGAAATGTCACAAGAAATCACAACATCGTTATTACCTACCGTTCAAATATTAGACAAGTCTTCTAACGATTTGACAATGTCTTTAACTTCTGATTTAGTAACGGAAGCATCCATAGAAAAGTCTACCATAGATCGAACCGATTTAACTGAAAACCAAGCGTCCGATCTATCCCCTAAAGTAACAAAAGTAGCTTCAGAATCAAGTCTATCTTCTCCAGCTGAAAATACGTCAACAACAACATCTACTAATTTGGCGGCCGATACTTCTACATTACCGCTTACTATTGCTAATTTGCCTAGTAAACCAACATTGAGCAGCCCATCAACAATTAGTTCTGAGTCAGAAATGACAGAATCATCTTTAACTAAAACATTATTAACTACTACATCTCCAAGCGAAACTACAATATCTGCTTCATCAAATACCATAATTAATACAGCTGCGTCGAAGAAGGAATCTGACGGAAATCCATTCTATTAAGAATTTTAAAACTTTTTAATTTCAATCTTTTTTTTTTTTAAATAGTCTGGTAAAAGACTTTCGTAAATAAATAAATTTAATTTAAGGTAAATTATGTGAATTAGGCGGTATGCTGCTTAATTATAAAATGTTCACTGAGGTTCTAGAGTTAAAAATTGAGCCTGAAAATTGAATCTTACCTAATATTTAAGTTATCGTAGTCTTATATTAGTCGCAATAACTTTATGAAATAGCTCTACTATTAGATTGAAAGCTAATAAAATTATTGTGTTATTTAAAATAATCCTTTTAATGTATCGTGAGACCGAAGCCTATTTACAGTATTATGGCTATTCATGCAAGTTTATTTGCCTGCTTGGTGCGCAAAAAGGAAATACACTACTCATGTTCCCGTCTTTACATTTCAACGAACGCGCATTGAATTTTAAAATGAAAAGGGCAAATCCATTGTACTGTTTTTCGCTTAGTAATCTTGCTAGGGATGTTTCAATTTAAAACATCGTAATGGGTTTTTATGCTATATAAATTATAATTGAATTTTACTGTTTTCAAAACCTATGTGACGTAGGTATACGTTGTGTTTGATGGTCACTTTCTATGTTGGTATAGAATTTGAACGAGTGCCGGTTTTTTTTTATGGCATAGTCTGATGAACAAGCTCACGGCTCACCTGTGTTAATTGGTTACCAGACAATAGACATTACGCCGTAAATATCGCACCAGTAATTATGCATATTGATATTTTCGCGAGTTTGATTTTGATTACACAATGTTATTCCTTCTGTCGTGAACATAGCTTAGATACATACGTATTTCATTTGAGAAATTGGCACGTACACCCACACCTGTGTGCGAGTTTTTTAACGTTCTCGATAGCGTAAAAGTTAGCCCAATTTTGTATGCAGTTGGAACAGCGCCCCTAGGGGCGGTCCTAACGCCGCGACAGAGCGTTGCGTACTTATAGCGCCGGGGCTCTGTTTGACGGTATGATACCATAGTAGTACAACACATCTCGGCGTCATAGCGCACCGTCAGTTTAGCGCTCTGACGCGCGCTAATTACGCGTTCTGTTTGAGGAAGCCTTAAGACGCTTTGATGTCAGGCGTTGTAATTTTTTACAAATTTTATTTTAGCGTCCGAGTGAATGTGTATTAAAATACTGGATAATGTCCTGAAAAATTGATAGAATTAGTTAGAAAATACTCATGTTTATACAATGACACATCTGAATCACTCGACATCTTAATACTTTTAAATTTTCACATTGCTATCTAAAGGTTCTATGATTTGGCGAATGCGTTGCGTCAAGGAGCGTTGGACTCATCTATATAGTCAATTTGTGTGACATGAAAAGAGCGCGACGTTAAAACGCAGCGCTAAGTACGCGTTCTGTTTGACGAAGCCTTAAAAAATTCGCACTAAGCACACTGGTTTTGAACACTAGCATAGTAGCATAAACTCTATAACTCAGTGCGAGTGCACTTCGCGATTTATCCCTTCGGTCACAATGTCTTGGGGAGTGTTTCAAAGCATTAGTTGAGAGAATTCCGATATCATCCTTTTACCTTCGTTACCACACATCGGAGCTGAGTACATTTTTCTCACCTGGGAGCATAACGTAATAAGGATTGGGTGCATTGTCAGTAGATGCTTCAATCGCTCACTATAGAATCCGAGACAGACAAATTTTAGAGACGAGATTTCTTTTGCTACGTACTGTTTATGCGGGGTCTCCTGATTAGGTTTTTAAAAAAGGATTTATTTGAAGAGATTTCGCGTTTATTAGTTCTATTTCACAAACAATTGAATTTTAGAAATTAACAGAAAAGAGATATTGTTTTAGACCGCTCCCGGTGGGTGACTGAATACGACTGACTGACTCTCGGTCGGTAACTATTACCAAGAGATTTCTTACTCTGCTTACTCAGCATCAGTGGTGATTAAAAGGAATGTATCATCACTTTAACTAACATGGGGAGTCTGTAACAGTACCGTATACAGTGTGTTCGAATCCCGCAGGCGGGTTACAAATTTTTCTAATGAAATACGTACTTAACAAATGTTTACGATTGACTTCCACAGTGAAAGAATAACATCGTGTAATAAAGATCATACCCGCAAAATTATAATTTGCGTAAATACTGGTAGGACCTCTTGTGAGTCCGCACGGGTAGGTACCACCGCCCAAGTTAAGTAAGGTATACTTCTCATTTTGTGATTCAACTATGTCAGTGTTCATTTTCTGGAGGCAGATACGAATGTTTCTAATGCGCGACGAATTAGAACAACATATAATATATAAACAACATACATATATAACTACTGGTGGTAGGACCTCTTGTGAGTCCGCGCGGGTAGGTACCACCACCCTGCCGTGAAGCAGTAATGCGTTTCGGTTTGAAGGGTAGAGCAGCCGTTGTAACTATACTCGAGACCTTAGAACTTATATCTCAAGGNGGCAGATACGAATGTTTCTAATGCGCGACGAATTAGAACAACATATAATATATAAACAACATACATATATAACTACTGGTGGTAGGACCTCTTGTGAGTCCGCGCGGGTAGGTACCACCACCCTGCCGTGAAGCAGTAATGCGTTTCGGTTTGAAGGGTAGAGCAGCCGTTGTAACTATACTCGAGACCTTAGAACTTACATCTCAAGGTGGGCGCATTTACGTTGTAGATGTCTATGGGCTCCAGCAACGACTTAACACCAGGTGAGCTGTGAGCTCGTCCACCCATCTAATAATAAAAAATAAGCCAGTTCGTGACGTAATAAGTAATGCAATCTCAAATCGTTCGGAAAAAGCTGTCCATACTGGATGTGTATATTCTCAGAGCGCGTATGACGCTAGTCAAAATCGGATTAGAAGAGGGTAGACAGATTTGTCTGCCTCTAACATCCTACCCGCCATCTTCGTTCTACACGTGACCACGGCGCGAATTGTTGAAAAGTGAAAATTGTGGTAAGAGAGCCTTTTCAATAATAGTGTCTATTGTTTAAGGTTGTTTGGTAACAATGAACGGGGCCCTGAAACTGCAATACTTTAAGACAAAAAAAATATTGTATGGAAACTATCGACATTCTGTAGCGGATGCCCCTAAATTTATATGTTGTCAGAGATTAAGGCATTTAATTATTGTTTAACTAAACACAGAAAATAAAAAAATAATAAATCATACAAATCTTTATTTGTTAAAGACAAATTGATTAAATTATATCAGTTCGTCGTTTCTAAAAATTTACAAAATCCTTCATTAAAAATAAAATATAGGATAGTTAATGTTACTGCCATCTACAGGAGCAATGAGAAACTAATCGAAGCGAAGCCATCTAGTTACCGACGCCCGTAAACATTTTTGTTGAGTGCTTGCTTCGATCAACAATTGTAACAGTGCTTGAGTTGCTTATCTATAACTAAGCGTATTACTCTATGATGATGAAAACTAACAGCGTGTTTTATTAGTCGATATTATTTCGTAATAGTTTTTTGTTACATAGATTACGTGATCTAATATTTAAACGCCGACATTCGCATCGTTTGATACGAGGATAGACCGAAAATTATGTTAAACTAAATATTATGGATTGTGCGTTGTGACTTGTGTACTTTATACGACTTTTTTTTTTTGGTCAGGCGGAAATCGCCGGACTTCCACCCTTTTCTGGGGATACTGGGCGGGGTATGTCAGAGTCGAACTGACTAAAACCTCCTGTCGCTCAACAACCAACGTTCAAACCTCGCATGAGACAGAACTCATGACAAGGCAAAGGGGGGAAAGTGAAGCGCTTAGTGCGGAGCACATCTCTCCCATCACCCTCCCCCTCGGGACGCCGGACTGGCGGTCGTCGGCGCCACGACCACCAGCCCTCTCGGTCGGCAGACTGTCCGAAGCCCGCCCTGGCTGACAACTACGTGATGGTTTTCTAAATTAACGATATGTAAACGAAAGAGATTATTAACGTTTACTAAAATCGCAAGCGCTCGTTATGTTTTAACGATGTTTACATTTAAGCGAACTGTGTGTGCGTTGCTTTTTACCCTCTGTGGTTTTCATCCAAATTTAGCAGCAAACAAGGATTTTTAGGCAGCCTTCTAAAAGTCAAGAGTTTTTTTTTTTTTTATAATTTAAATTATAATTCTAAAATAATATTCATTCTTGACTCTCAAAGATTTTAAATATTTTCTTGCTGATTTATGCTGTTTTTTATTGCCTTTGTAGGCAGACGAGCTATGGCCCCACCTGATGGCAAGTGGTCACCGTTGCTCGTGGACGTCAGCAATGCCAGGGGCAGAGCCAAGCCGCTGACTACCTGTTTCGTCACAATCAAAAAGAACGCTTTAATACCTAGGCAATAATTGTTGAGAATTGTGATTGTATCATCATTATTCTATTTTAATAATTTTAAAGCATTTAGTTGGTGAGATTATTTTCCGCTTTGACCCGGATACAATAATACCTTTTCAAATAAATGCTGAAAAACATCCAAAATCGTCGAGGGTTTATTTCAAAAAAATATTAAAAATGTAGACCGGACGAAGGAGAGTACAGTAAGCGAAATAAGCGGTAAAATATTGAAGCGCTCAACAGAATTAACTCGCGCAGCTCACAATCTTCGTTAGCAATTATCTCAATTCGAATAATCGCGGCCGCTTCAAATGGCTTGAAATTCAGCAGATTTTTATCCTGTTAATTCATTAAAGTAATTATCAGCAGTTTTGTAGTGAACATCTATAGTTGTTTGTTTCTCCGGCACGGTATTTGTCCCCGAGAATCGAAAGTGTTGCTTAGTCCGCACGGGTATGTACCACCGCCCCGCTTATTTCTGCCGTGAAGCAGTAATGCGTTTCGGTTTGAAGGGTGGGGCAGCCGTTGTGACTATACTGAGACCTTAGAACATATATCTCAAGGTGTGTGGCGCATTTACGTTGTAGACGTCTATGGGCTTCAGTAACCACTTAACACTAGGTGGGCTGTGAGCTCGTCCACACATC